TCTTTCTTTCTTTCTTTCTTTCTTTCTTTCTTTCTTTCTTTCTTTCTTTCTTTCTTTCTTCTTCCTTCCTTCCTTCCTTCCTTCCTTCCTTCCTTCCTTCCTTCCTTTCTTTCTTTCTTTCCTTCTTTTGTTTTTTGAGACAGTATTTCTCTGTTTTTAGTTTTGGCTGTCCTGGAAATTGCTCTGTAGGCTAGGCTGGCCTCGAACTCAGATCTTGCCTGCCTCTGCCTCCCAAGTGCTGGGATTAAAGGAGTGCACCACCACCACTGTGTGGAGCACTTTCGTAGGTGACTACAAGGCCTCTGACCACTGGGTAGTGCCACCCACTGGGCAGGCGATCCTGAGTTGTGTAAGAAAGCAGGCCGAGCAAGACAGCACACAGCATTTCTCAGTAGCCTCTGCTTTAGTGCCTGCCCCGAGTCCCCTGCCCTGACACTCCTCAGTGAGGGACAATGACACAGCAGAAACCCTTCCTCTCAAATTGTTTTGGTCACGGCATTTTATCACAGCAATAGAAATCAAACTGGGGCACTTTTCCTGTTGTAGTGGCTTCCTGGTAGTCAGCACAAGCTGGCCAGCTTGACCCAGCCAGCAAGTTCTGGGGCTCCAATGAGAGGAGGCACTCAGCATCAACTTCTGTACACACAGGCATGCATGAGCAGACACACATACATGTTCATACACACAGTACACATACCTGTATTGACAGAAAAGTGAAACATTTGTAGGAAATCTTGTGGAAAGAAAATCTGTTCCCAAGAATGAGTTCAGATGATGGCATTCTGCATTGTTCATTTAGAATCAAATGAGAAGCTTTGTTAAGCCAGGCAGTGGTGCCGCATGCCTTTAACCCCAGCACTTGGGGAGGCAGAGAGAGGCAGATCTCTGTGAGTTTGATTGAGGTTGGCCTGAGGGAGCTTTAGGACAGGCTCAAAAAAGCTACAGAGAAACCCTGTCTTGAAAAAGTCAAAAAAATTCCTTTTAAGGTTAATTCTCAAAATCTCAAACCCCAAAATCCCAGCACTCAAGAGGCCGAGGCAGGAGGATTGGCATGAATTGGAGGGAGGGCAGCCTGGAGTACAGACTGAGACCATGTCTAAATAAACAATGAGTGGATGGTAAACCTATTTACCTATTTGGAATTGTCCTTTTATTTAATCGGTCTTCTTCTTCCCCGCCAGAACTTGTTATTGAACCCAGCGCTTGTACAAGCTGGCAGGCAGGCCAGTCTATCACCAGGCTGCTTCCTCAACCCGAGACAATTAATGAACCATGGTGAGCTGTTTTGTTTGTTTGTCTTTTCAGCATTGAGACTAAGATTTCTTTCTTTTTGAGACAGGGTTTCATGTATCCCAGGTTGGCCATATGTTGCCAGGAAAGATGATCATTCTGCCTCAGCTTCCTAAGTGCTGGGATTATAGATCTCTGCTGCCCTGCTCTGTTTATGTGGTGCCCGGAATTGAACCCATAATTTATTATATGCTTTATAAAATTTTATACTATGCAGAATTATATAATCTCGCCACATAATATTTTACTCTATAAGATAAATATTTTTGGTGAGCACCCAGATTGAAAGGACAACGCTTTAAATACTAAACTAGGAAGCTGGCTCACATTTGGTGACATCAGAGACATGACTGACTTATCTATGGCTATGGACGTTTTGTAGGGAGTGCCCAAGAAGCATTCAACACTACCAAGAACAGCATTCTGCTATGAAAACAGAGCCAGTCTTCTCTGTCCATTATACTGAAGTTGAAGTTCTCCTAGCAAAACAGTAAAAGATACTTTATCAATAATTTCAGAACCACCGAATTTCTCCGTTGTCTCCACAGACTTGCATTGAACAAGATAGGCTGGGTCAAGTGTTTGAAGATGCGTTTGAAGTATTGACACAGCATTCAGTTGGGGAACTTCAATATCCCCCAGGTAAAAAACGGTCATTTCCTCATCTCTTGGCACGTGTGGCTAGTTGGTCACATACATCTGTAAGGATAAAGGCATGGAAGGAAGCCCATTATACTAGACTTATGATCTTGGTACTTACAAAAGGGGGCCTTCCCTGGAGCTCCCTAGCTAGCCAGGGATACCCCTATTGAGTTCTAGGCCAGCGAGAGATCCTGTGTCAAAAAACAAGGCTGAGGGATGGTATCTGAGGTTGACTTGGGCTCACACGCGTGTGTACCCACACGCGTGTACACCTGCAAGTGATACACAGACATACATGCAGGTAAAACACTCGGATACATGAAATAATCTTAGAGCGGCGTGGAACTGACGCAAAGGGCTCATTGTTTTGAGGGCAGCCTGATTATCACAGTTCGACTCTGTCTTCATAAGACCAAGAACAAGCATAAGGCTGGCTCACCATGTGCTTGTCTCATCTCACCTTTCCATGAAAAGCTTTTCTTTAAAATATATGTGTATGGTGTGTTGTGTATGTGTGAATGTATATGTGTATGGTGTATTGTGTATGTGTGAGTGTTTATGTGTATGGTATAGTGCATATGTATAAATGTATATGTTTGTGATGTATCGTACATATGTATATGTGTATGGTGTATTATGGTATATTGTGCATGTATAAATATATATGTATATGGTATATTGCATATGTGTAAATGTATATGTGTATGGCGTATTGCATGTGTGTAAATGTATATGTGTGTGGTGTATTGCGTATGTGTAAATGTATATGTGTATGGTGTATTGTGTGTGTGTAAATGTATATGTGTATGGTGTATTGCATATGTGTAAATGTATATGTGTATGGTGTATTGTGTATGTGTATTTGGTACACTGCGGGATTATATGCGTATGGTGTATAGTGTATGATATTGTGTGCGTGTACATGTATATATGTTATCTGGGCCATCATTAGAGTGTAGGAGTCAGGGAACAACCCTGGGTGTCATCCTTGTCTCCCCTGTGTTTGAATCAGAGTCTCAATAGCATGCATATGCCAGGCTAGCTGGCCTGGGAACTTTTGGACTCTCCTGACTCCACCTCTCATCTTGCCACAGAAACACTGGGCAAGATACATACATACATACACACATACGTACATACATACATACATACATACATGTCTTTATGCACTCAGCTTGACCTGGGTTCTGGGGACTTGAACCCAGATGTGGCAAGTGCCTTGTTCATTGAGTCATCTCTCCAGCCCAGAGAAAGCTTCTTCACCGCTATTCTTCATTGCTCAGGCCTTCCACTCACCCAGGATGTAGTCTGTGAGGAAGAATACAGATTTTTAGTCTTCTTCGTTTATTCTGTAGTCGGTATTATTCTTCAATCTAGATAAGATGCAATATCTCATTTATTGAGTTTATTATATATAGTATCACAGGGAATTACAGGATTGAAAAAAACAGTTTAGGTATATGGAATAGATCTCCATAAGGCAAATGGGTTATGTAGCAGCAATCAATAGAATAGGTGTCACCTTGAGCCGGGCGGTGGTGGCACGCACCTTGAATCCCAGAACTTGGGAGGCAGAGGCAGGCGGATCTCTGTGAGTTCGAGGCCAGCCTGGTCTACAAGCGCTAGTTCCAGGACAGGCTCTAAAGCCACAGAGAAACCCTGTCTCAAAACCAAAAAAAAAAAACAAGCAAAAAACAAAACAAACAAAAAAAACCCACAAATGTGTGCTTGTAAGCTTGAACTCACGAAATGAAATGTCCTTCTGTTCTCCTTTTTTAGATCATAAAAATTACATGACTTTCGTTAACCACTATCCTCACATCAGAGGCAGCTCCAGTTGCTACGGCCTTTTGCCCACAGAAGAACCCAACTGTAACTGGAGAAGTGTAACGGTGAGTGTGTTGTGTGTGTGTGGGACCGACTGCTCAGCACAGCCGTGCTTTGGTTTTATCACGCTTAAAGCAAGCATGAACGGAAGAGCGAGCTTGCCAACAGCAGAGCTAGGAGAACCTCAGATCAGACGCGGAGAGCGGAGGAAGCTAGTCCTAAAAAGTCCTGAAAACGCTAGCACAGTCACCCACTGCCCCTGCTAGATGGACGCGATAACGATAAACAAAACGTGTTCTCCTGGGCGAGACTCGCACCATAGACATCTGTACATTGTATGGTCAACTGGTGGTCTTGTTTTGTGGCGGTGCTGGAAATAGTTCATTCCCGTCTCAGCTGCACTCTGGTCCAATCACATTTTTTCTCCTCTGTTCTCAAGGCTGCAGCACTCCTTGACTTTGTTTGTTTGTTTGTGTTTTGCTGTTTTCCTTTCTCCTCTCACAGGGCCCGGAGGCCCTGGCCCAGCCCTGGACAATGTCATCCTAGGGGACATTTTAAAATTAACATGCTTGACTCCAAAGTGAAAAATCCACAGTAGAATTAGAACTAGAAAAGCAATTACCTCTTTCATGGGGCTGGAGAGGTGGCTCAGAGGTTAAGAGCCTTGCCTTCTCTTCCAGAGGTCCTGAGTTCAATTCCCAGCAACCACATGGTGGCTCACAGCCATCTGTAATGAGATCTAGTGCCCTCTTCTGGTGTGCAGGGATACATGTGGACAGAACATTGTATGTACATAATAAATCTTTTTTTTTAAAAATCCTCTTTCATGAGTCCATTACCTGCATCACCCTTTCTTGTTTCCCTTTCTACATGTTATAGCGTGCCTACATACATGGACATCTCTTTACATATATGTAGATGCATGTATGTGTATATACTCATGCTAGAATCAACGTATGAGGGAGCACATGTAGGTTTTTCTTTCTGGGATTGTGTGACCTTAATATTATACATACCAAGTCCGTCCATTTTCCTGAAATTCTGTCACTTCATTTTTTTAGAGATGAAGAGTAGTCAGGTTTAGATAGGTATTTATTTGTATAGGTGTCTCAACAGGCAGCTTTAATCTGGTGGCTCTAACTGTAAAGTTCATTTCTTCTTCATCTTCACTCACATATGTTGTGCTGACACCCCTTATCTCCGGGTGTAAATTAGGCCTGTTGCATCTTGTGATTTCTTTTTCCTCTTCGTTTATTTTCTTCTATGTACAACCATTCCCTACCTATTTGATGCTGGGAGTCAAACCCAAGGCTCGAGGCAAGTACTTTACTAACTGCTACATCTCCAGCCCCATAAGCCATCTCTTTAAAGAGGGGTTCCAATTTTAATCTCTTTTAGGATTGGCTGCTAAACTTGGGCTGTGGGGGGGCGGTTATTATTCACTTTATCTGGCAACCTTACTTTCTTAATGCCTAGCCTGCAGAATATAGCTTCTTCTAGTTGGCATTGTCTGGCCTGACAGTGGAGGGATAAGATGGCTCAAGCCCAGCCCTTCCATTGTGTCTGATTAACCAATGGACACAGACACATCTTTGCCATATGGAATGGTAGGAACACCTTCCTCTCGTCTCTTGGTCCCCTTGCCAGGGAGGTATTCAACCCAGTAACGAAAGCCCAACTTCTCTTCGTTCTGATACCCTAATCTTTTGACTGTTTCATGGGGGGCAAGGTGAGCCCAGAATCTCCTTCAACTCAAAGTGGTCCTCCTGCCTCCGTCACTTGCCAGCACCACTCTGGCCTTAGGATTCTTGGTCCTGGGCACTGTTAGAAGAGGAGCAATCGCCTCTTTCTCATGGCGGGAGGAGTCAAATGTTAACTTCTATCCCTTGATCCTTTCCGAATCTTTTGATCGTCCCTGGGAGCTATCTGTGGCACTCAGAGAATCTAGATGTTTAGAACCCATCGCTTTTCGCATTGGTCTGCAACCACTGATGAGGGGATGGGGTGAGGGGCATGGGACAAACTCCCTCTTGATATCCTGCTGTCTTGTGTGTGCAGAATGGTTCTGCGGACTTGTATTCGGAAGAAAATTTCCATCAATCTCTGCAGAGCATCACTGAAAACCAGCTGGTACAAGCCTCCATCTTCCAGCATAAGGGAGGAAAAGGTACATGGCCATGACACCCCTTACATGGTACAAGGGATGCTGTTATACATGGGTTTGGATTTTTCCTTTCTTTCATCATGTAGTCCAGGCTGGCCTGGAACTTACTAGTAGACCAAGATGTTTTTTAAACTTGTGATCCTTCCTCAGTGTCCTGAGTGCTAGAAGAAGTTCAGAAATTATATATATATATATATATATATATATATATATATAATTTTATATCTTGTATATTATATTATATCTTGTAGCCAAACATGGTAACACATACTTGTAGGTCCAGCACGGAGGCAGAATGATTGCAAGTTTGAAGCAAGCCAGGGCTACATTGTAGACTCTATCCCAAGAAAAATCTGCTAGAACAGCAAGAAGTGAACCCCTCCAAGGGCGCTGGGTTATTAATTGAATCATAGGAACTTTACTGATGGCTACACTCTGGAAGAAAAATGGCGCTGCCACCCCACACCCAGTAGCCATGGACTACCAGCGTGGATCCCCATGTATCTCTCCCTAACTGTGCTAGGGTGTAGGCAGTCTCAGTTTTGTGCGGGTCCTGTGCAGGTAGCCACAGCTGCGGCGAGTTGATAGTTCAACAGCCATGTCACGTTCAGATGACAGTTTTGCAGTTCGTAGACCCAAGATAATACGAGCAGTTTGGGAATAAACTATGCTGATTTCTCAAGGGGAGCAAAGAATGTAGTCAAGAGTTTGTTGTTGTTGTTTGTTTGTTTGTTTTTAACTACTGGTGGATCCAGTGGATACAGCCTGCAAAAGCTAATTCGGATGTCATGAAGTGGCGGTCACTTTAATTTCAAGAATTCTATTGCATCACACGATCCACAGAAATCCTCTAAATTTCCCTACCTAGTCATTTTGAGACGCCATTAGCACTTGATCTTCTTATTGAAAATGTCCTTAGCCATTGCTCATGAACAGTGGCGTGAACATTTTGTGTGGGGGCATTTCTACTCCAGTTATCTTTTTGTTTTTGTTTTGTTTGGTTTTTTTTTGGTTTTTTTTTTTTTTTTGCAAATTTTCCAGGACATTTTACAGCTCCAGTACTAGCCTCCATGTCAGGGCTAATAATTCCCTAAATATTACTTTGAGGGCTGAGAGATGATGGCATTTAAGAGCACCAGGACCAGTTAAAGATGGCTGTGAGCTGCAATGTGGGTGCTGGGACTCGAATCTGAGTCTTTTCTGCAACTCAACAAGTGTTCTAACAGCTGGACCAACTCTAGCCCCTTGTATGTGTCATAATGGGAAACCGGTGGTCAAAATTTAACTGGGAAGAAAGACTGCCTTCAAGTGAATCTCTAGATGAGGAGCCCCAGACTTTCTTTTTCCAGAGGACAGTAAAAGAACTTTTAACCATTTCCACATCAGTTAGGTCCGGCGCAAACTTTAAGAGGCCCACGGATCTTTCTGGTCTGGTAGTAACTGCCTTCCTAAGGCAGTGAGTGAAGTTGGCTCATTGAAGCTTCCATAACTGGGAGGTCCTTCCCTGGGACCTTCTAGGGCCAGACACAAAGGGTTTGATGTCTCCTCTTTCTTTCCCTCCATCGCAGGCAGGAGGAAGCTCCGGCTGTTCGAGTACCTTTTCGAATCTCTGTGTGACTCGGAGATGGCATCTTGCATCCAGTGGGTTGACAAAACCAAAGGTGTCTTTCAGTTTATCTCAAAAAACAAAGAAAAGCTGGCTGAGCTTTGGGGGAAGCGTAAAGGCAACCGAAAACCCATGACGTACCAGAAGATGGCCAGAGCCCTGAGAAACTATGCCAGGACAGGGGAGATCACGAAAATCCGCAGGAAACTGACCTACCAGTTCAGTGAAGCTGTTCTCCAGAAACTGTCTCCACCTTACCTCCTGGGGAAAGACATCTTCTGCTCGCAGTATGGTCAGCCTGATCAGGAATATCTCAGCTTGAACCCCTGGAATGTAAACTGTTATGCCTATGTGGGTTACCAGAGCTAAACCACACCAGTTTCTTCTTTCTGGTTTTTTTTTTTGTTTGTTTTGCTTTGTTTTATAAAGGAGATAAAAGCATTCCTATGTTTTTCAAAGCTTTGGATTAATCAATGTTTTCTTTTTTTTTTAAAATTACACAAACAGTGTTTTGTCTGCAAGTGTGCCTGCACGTCAGAAGAGGGGACCAGATCTCATTATAGATGGTTGTGAACCATCATGTGGTTGCTGGGAATTGAACTCCAGGACCCTTGGAAGAACAGTCAGTGCTCTTAACCTCTGAGACATCTCTTGAGCCCTTTTGTTTTGTTTTTTTTTTTGAGACAGGATTGTTCTGTGTAGTCCTGGCTGTCTAGGAACTCGCTCTGTAGATCAGGCTGGCCTTGAGCTCACAGTGCTGGGATTAAAGGTGTGTGCCACCACTGCCTGGTGCCACTCCAGTTCCTAACTGCATTCTGTTCCTTGTCTTGCTAGCATCTCCAGAAAAGTCTGAACTTTGGAATTCCAAAGCAAACTGTTCTCCCTATTCACAGACCCCACGCCCATGACATACACATCTAGGGAAAATACCGCACAGAACATGTTCAGACTTTTCGTCTTGGTCCTGACAACATTTTTAGGTAATGTTTACTTTGTGTTGGTGTTCAAAGGAAGCTGAAGATGTTTCAGAAGGATGCTCATAATTTGGCTGCCTAAACTTTGCTGTTTAGACTGCGTGTCTATGGACTGGGTATCCAAGAACACCCTGGAGCCAGTCTTCAAAGCAGAAGCGCACCGTGCCTTGTAGTTATTTTATTAATGAAATTTATTAATGAAATTTGAATCAATTGAAATTATAGACAGCTTTCTGCTATGTGAACATTTTTCTTTCTAGAGTGTGCCAGCTTGGATGATTTTATAGGATGATTGTTTTAAAGAATGGTTTTGTTGCAGGCTGGCTAGCTGGCTGGCTGGCTTGCTTGCTTGTTTGGAGATAGTCTTGTTAACTAGGCCAGACTGTCCTTGAGTTAATGGGATGACAGGTGTGTGCTACCATTGTGAGGCTTATGTATTGATTTAAGCACTTTTTTTTAATCGTGTATTCAGGTGAAAAGTCACTCGGCATGCACTATGACACAAAGGATGAGCTAATAAATGTTATACAAACACTATGATTTTAATTTGCATTTTTTGGATGATAGACATTGAGTATTTTTAAGACAGAATCTTATGATAATATTTAATATATTATAATATAACAATATAATATATTTTATATATAACCCTGTCTGGCTTAGACCTCACAGATCTTCAAGTGCTGGTGTTAAAGGTGTGTGCTTGTATTTGAGGGACCGTATTGAGGACATTTCTGCTCAACCCATTGCCGTGAAAATTTGCCTATTCTAGGAAGTTAGGTTTGTTTGTTGTTTTGAGACAGTCTCACTTTGTAATGTTGACTGGCCTGGAGCACACGTTGCTGGCCTTGAACTCAGATCCACCCCTCTGCCTCCTGAGTGCTGGGATTAAAGGTGTGGACCACACGTGGCTAGTTTTCAGCCTTCCTTTTAAGAATTTTATCAGCTTTTCTCTCTGTACTGGGATGGTTAGTTTTGATAATCCAATGTGATTGGATTAAGGAATTCCTAGGAGCTGGGCTTGACCCAGGCCTGTCAGGACATTCCAGCAGGAAGGGGTTTAATTTTAACATCCACACCTAGAGTCACCTGGGAGAGAGTCTTAGCTGAGGAATTACATAGATCAGGTTAGTTCTGAAGCATTTCAGTGGGGTTGTCTTGACAGCAATTTGACCCAGCCCACTGTGGGTGGTGCCATTCTCTAGGTTGGACCCTGAACTGTAAAGTGAGGAAAGCTAGCAACCAAGGATGACTGGCTCAACAGTCCACCTCACAGGTGACAGCATCCCAGAGCTGTATCCATGAAGTTCCCTATATGGCATGCAGGTGGCTTGGCTGTGCCTCCTCTCCAGCAACTGCTACCCTTGTGGAGTGGGACATCTTGTAAGATCTAGATCTTAAAAACCCTGTCTTGAGCCGGGCGGCGGTGGATTTCACTGTAGCTTTGGAGCCTGTCTTAGAACTCACCCTGTAGACCAGGCTGGCCTCTAACTCACAGAGATCCGCCTGCCTTTGCCTCCCGAGTGCTGGGATTAAAGGTGTGTGCCACCGCCGCTTAACTGATTCATACACCAGGCTGGCTTCTCCAATCATGGAAATCCACCTGCCTCTGCCTCTGAAAGGCTGGGATTTGGGATATGTACCACCACTGCCTGGCTGTGATGGTTAATGCTGATCACCACGGCTGTGATTAATGTTGATTTAATCTGGAGTCAACTAGGAGACGGGCCTCTGGGCATGTCTGTGAGGGTATTTCTAGGAAGAATCATCTGGTGTGTGTGTGAAGATCCTTCTCCAGATAGAAATCTGTCTGAACAGGAAACAGCGCTTACCCTTGCCGGAGCACGTGTGCCCACCCCGGCGCTGCTGCCCTTGCCGGAGCACGTGTGCCCACCCCGGCGCTGCTGCTGCCACTGGCAGTTTTTCTTGCCATCAGACCCGACTCTGGTATTCCAATGGGGACTGAAGACGAGCCCACAAGACTCTCGGATCGTCAGCCTCCAGCCTCACGGACGTAGGCAGCCGCCATTGGGCTACTCAACTCATACAGTGTAAGACAATCTAATAAACCGCATTAGAACAGACACTCATTCTATCAGCTCTGCTGCTGCAGAGTGCTTTAATACACACATCCACAGACTGCAGTAATGAATCTCATTGCTTTGCGCAATTAGCATATGCTAATAAAAACATTTGCAACAACATGGGTAAACATTAGAAAAAAATTGAAGTAGTTGGTTTTTCTTTTTCTTTTTTTTTTTTTTTTGATTTTTTTTTCCCAGATAGGTTTTCTCTGTGTAGACCTGGCTGGCCTGGAACAGAAATATTTCAACAGGGTTTCATTAGGTAACCTTGCCTGGCCTAGAACTATTTAGATCAGGCTAGCCAGAAACTCAGGCTGGTCTGCTTGCTTCTGCCTCTCCAGCACACACGCTACAAAGACATGTGGCCTCACGTAAGGGAAATGAGGGGCACGGGGAAGCAGGAGACTCTGGGTAGTGGAGACAAACATTGAAATCCCGGCAGTAGAGTAGGATGGTAGTCCAGGGGCCTACCAGGGTTTGGGGAGGTGTTGGCTCGCGAGTAGAGTTGTAGTTAGGAAAGTCCTGATGCTCTACTGTTCTGACAGGTGACAGTTAAGAGTGACATATGTGAGATAGCTTAGCTCTGCTGGAGGAAGCGCTTGGCTTCTCAGCACCCACATAGCTCGCCAACTGCCCGTAACACACACACACACACACACACACACACACACACACACACACACACACGTGGTCTACTGTCACAAAGACACACATGTGCATATACAAAAAACATCAATAAATCCTTCAAATAGAAATACTTTATATATTTCAGAATAGATATTTTAAGTGTCCACAAAACAATGATATTTGAGGTGTTAGAGATATGACAGTGAGGGCTCCCTCCCAGACCCCGAATTAGACACAAACCACACCCAAGCACCTGCTTTCACAGAGATCCTTTTTTAAGTGGGGGAGGAAAACGTAAGTGGCTTCTTTCTGACTCAGGCAGAGAAACGGCAGCAAATGACCTTGCAGGGGTAGTTTTTAAGAGGAGAAGAAGGGGAGGTCTCTGTTAGAATAGGCTAGGATGTGGTGGGAAAGGAGGCAAGGGATGAGGGAGAAGGGCAAGGGGACAAGGGTGCAGGGACATTTGTCCTGGAGGGGGACAAAGGACTGCTCTGGATAGAGGGGAGACAGGCATGGCCTAGGCAAATGGTTTATAGAGGTGAGATGGGAAACCCGTATTAGGATGAGATGTTTGATTTAATCGAGCATGCTGTGGGACAATGATCTTGTATCCTGGAAAGATTTGTCACTTGCATTGTTTTCATAAACAAGTAGCCAGGCAGGAAGTATAGGCAGAGCAACGAGAACAGGAGAATTCTGGAAAGCGAAAAAGTAAGTCTGCAGTCATCACCCATACACAGAGGAAGCAAGAGGAGAATGCCTCATTGATAAAATGTACCAAGCCATGTGGCTACCACAGATAAGAATTATGGGTTAATGTGGGCTGTAAGAGTTAATAAGAAGCCTGAGCTACTAGGCCAATCAGTTTATAATTAATGTAGACCTCTGTGTGTTTCTTTGGGGCTGACTGGCTGTGGGATTGGGCAGGACAGAAATCCTCTGTCAACAAAAGGGGCTTTTGATTGCTGGACCTTGGTGGTCAGCCTCAGGAGGAGGAAGTGGCCAAATAAGAAAATAGACCTTGGTGGCTAGCTTTAGGAATATAATATTTAGGTTGTAAAACTTTAAGACAATTCTGAAGCCATTTCTGACAATTCTAAACCCTCTCAGCCTCCGTGCCTTAGTGCTTCCCCTCCTCCCCTGGGAACCAAGGACCTAACAGCTACACATGCACGTACTCAGTTCCTGAACAATTACCCACACACGTATGTTTTGACTCAGTCCCCTGGGAAACAGGGTCAAAATGACCTCTTACCTCATCTGATCTGACAATAGCTCTCCAGCCAATTATTGGTATTAGCCCTTTTCGAATAAGCCAATCATAATGGTCAAAGAACAACTCCCCCTCTCCTTTAAAAGTAGACTGTACCAGCTATTTGAGGTCTCTCGGCTTCCCGAATGCTGGGGGACCCTGTCATGACAGAATTAATAAAATCCTCATGCTTTTGCATCGGCTGTGGTGTATGAGGTGGTCTCTGGGGGCGACTCCTTTTTAGTGTTTGGATACTAGAGTCCAACAAGATTTTTTTTGTTTTGTTTTGTTTTTCAAGACAAGGTTTCTCTGTTGCTTTAGTACCTGTCCTGGAACTAGCTCTTGTAGACCAGGCTGGCCTCGAACTCACAGAGATCCACCTGCCTCTGCCTCCCGAGTGCTGGGATTAAAGGTGTGCGCCACCACTGCCTGGCAATATTTAGGTTTTTAGCAAGTCAGAGGGAATGGAGAAGAGGGGCAAGGCCTGCCAGAGTCACACATTCAAGTGGGCTAGTGTCCCTTCAAGAGCTATCCCAAACTGACCACTCCAACATGGTCAA